TGTTCGGTTAATAAAGGAACTCTGTTACTGTGATTTCTTTTCGTTCTTCCTCCTCAGTCTACCTTTTCTCCACTTTCTCCACTTCTCTTTTCTTGGCAGGAAGTCCTCTGACAGTGAGTCTGTCTCATAGCGGCGGCGGCGGCGGCAGTGGTGGTGGCGGCGGCAGTGGCATAGATGGATGGACGGACTTGGCGGACGCTCACAGCCGGCCTGGTAATGTGAGAAAATCTGCTGCCAATAAAGAGACGCTGCAGATGGACGAGACATGATGCTGTTTTTGTCTAATATTTCTATATTCTCTCCACGTCTGAGTCCTCACAGGTGTTTAAACGCACACACACACACACACACACACACACACACACACACACACACACACACACACACTCTTTGCAGTGGGTACAGACCGAGGGTTGGCCATCAGGGTAAATGTTCAAAGGACGAACCATCAGCGGCTAATTCACAGTTATTAACTCTTGTGCTGTGAAAGGAGACAAATGATCGTCAATTACTGCCTAATTAAAGACTGATTGCTGCTCAGTAGTTATAAATCATTAATTTTTAACACTCTTATCACAGGCGGACGGGACGATTCAACAAAAGGTCTATTAGAGTGAAAATGAATTCAGTGGATTCTTGAACAGAGCCGTATCTCTGCCACTGTAACTCATTAACTGTAATTACTGCGCAGCAACGACTTCATCCAACAGGAACTAAAGTCACACTCACTGCATTAAAGACTCTGTATATGTGGGATTAAGAAAAGGTCCTAAATCTACATCAGATCAATGATAATCCTTCAGATTTTAATCTGATAATCCACTGATAGAGACCCATCCTGACGCTCCACTGTGTTCACCAGGATCTGCCTCTGTGGGTCAGAATCTGTGGGTGGAAACCGTCAACTCTTTATACTCCACCATTTCAAACCCAGACCCTAATCCTAATCCTAACCCAGATTAGTTTAGGATTTCTCCTCCTCCTCTCTTCTCCTCCTCTCTTCTCCCTCTCCTCCTCTCCTTCTCCTCTCAGCTGATGGATTAGTGTTTTTCTTCTCCTCTCTTCTCCCTCTCCTCTCCACTTTCCTCCTCCTCTCTCCTCCTCTCGCCTCCCTCCTCTTCCTCTCTGTCTCCTCTCAGCTGATGGATCAGTGTTTTTCTTCTCCTCTCCCTCTCCTCCTCCTCTCTTCTCCCTCTCCTCCTCTCACCTCCTCCTCCTCTCTTCTCCCTCTCCTCCTCTCCGTCTCCTCTCAGCTGATGGATCAGTGTTTTTTTTCTCCTCTCTCCTCCTCCTCCTCTCTTCTCCCTCTCCTCCTCCTCTCTCCTCCCTCGGCTCCTGTTTGGAGGATTTTCTGTCTCTTTTTCTCCTCTTTCCTGTGATCCTCCTCCTTCTCCTCCTCTCTGTAACGAGCTCGCTCCTGGTCGGGTGGGTGGGGTTGGGGGTTGGGGGTCTTGTTTAGAGCTCTTCCTCCTGACAGGCGGGTAAACGGTTCAGGTTCTCCTCTCATTCATATTCCAGCAGCAGGTCGAGGCGTTTGGCCGAGCGGCCGGACCAGGAGATGAAATATTAACGGGCTGAGGAGGAGGTGGAGGTGGAGGTGGAGGTGGAGGTGGAGCACCCGGAGGGCCTCTGCACGCTTAAACAGCTCTTTGTGTGGATGCTGCTTCTTCAGCGCCTGTATCCCCACCCGGGCTCCACCTCCGTGTTAGCGAGCCGAGGTCGAGCTCAGAACAGAGTGAGCATCAAACCGGGTCGTCTGATCGGCTATGATCAGCTGATGGAGCGAGTTCACGACCCGCAAACTAATCAATAACTCTGTGGAGGAGGAGGAGGAGGAGGAGGAGGAGGAGGTGCATAAAGATGGGGCTGCCTTCTGCCCCCCCGGTGAAACCCGGCCTGCCGTTGGTCCTGGTCCTGGTCCTGGTCCAAACAAGGACTCAGAAATGTCAGACTTCAGTTAGAGAGAGTTGATGAGGGCCGAGCGCCGAGTTGACACCGCCTCCCACCCTCCACCCTCGCTCAGCTGCAGCCTCAGGGAGGAGCTAATGAGACGCTCTCCATCACCCGTTTGGCTCGGCCTGCAGGTTTGACTCACAGTGACCACAACGACGTCTGCCCCTCCGGACCGCCGCGGGGGCGGAGATAACGAAGAGTCTGAATGATGCAGGTTAGTGCAGGTGTGTGTGTGTGTGTGTGTGTGTGTGTGTGTGTGTGTGTGTGTGTGTGTGTGTGTGTGTGTGTGTGTGTGTGTTCACCACCCTGTCAGCTCAGACCAGGACTCTGGACTCTGAGACCAAAGTTCACTAAGATTCAACAAACCCGGACTCTAGAGGATCAGAGAAACCTGGTCTGAAGAGTCTGGATCTCAGCTGTCACCTTCAGTTGGGGGGTCAGAACTTGACCCAATGGACCCGTCCTACCGTGGATCAGCGGTTCAGTCTGCTGCTGGTCTCAAGGTGTGGGGGAGATTTTCTTAGACCACTTTGGACCGCTGTGGACCCCCTGGTACCACCTGAGCCCACCTGGGTGTTGATGCTGACCATGTCGGACCCCTTAGGACCACAGTGAACCATCTTCTGATCCAGACTGTCTCAGCAGGATGATGGATCACAGACCTCAGACCATCTCAAACTGGTTTCTGGAACATGACAGTAAGTTACCCCCAATTTCCACCGATCCAGAACGGCTCTGACACTGATGTCTCCTCTGCATTTAGACTCATTGATTCTGGGTCAACGTGTTCCGAACATGTATTTGGTGGGCGGAGCCAAAGTGATGAGAGGCGGAGTTTAACTCTCCTCTGAGTTAGTATGATCGCAGACGTGATTGGACGAAGAAACAGAGTCAGATGTCCAAAAAACGAGTCAGTGAGTGAACTCTGATCCAGTGGGAACTTCACATGACTCAATAAGCTGTCTGTTCAAGAGTTACTGTTCATTCATTCATTCATTCATTCATTCATTCACTCACTCACTCACTCATTCACTCACTCATACAGTCATCTCTATTATCTGGAGAGCTCCTCTGGACGTACTGAAGACTCTGTGGATTTGTTTCTGTCTCAGTAATCTGACATGAAGATGTTTTTCAGTCTCCTGAGGATGAATAAGGCCGTGCACACACACACACACACACACACACACACACACACACACACACACACACACACACACACACACACACACACAGCCGTGAACTCAGAGCCCGGCCCAGTATTACAGCGTTTCCTCTCTTCAGTTACATTCATAACAGAAGCAGAGCAGAGCGGTTGGAGGAGGGAGCGCTGCATCCGTCACAGAGAGGGATGGCGGTGTCATCACCGACTGTGGAGTGGAATCACAGGCCGCCATCGCTCCAGCACCACCCTCTTCTTTATGGAGCTGCTTTTTACATCCTGCTGAGTGGGCCTGCAAACAGAAAACGCTGAATCTCAGCTGTCACCATCGCCGTGAACCCTCCCTCTGCTCGCAGATATGAACCGAGGAGGACGACGACGGCGTGGACGAGTCCTACAAGACTGTGACACAGAGCGGGGGGGCCGGCGAGGTGGAGGGGGGTGTGGAAGAGGACGAGTACTGTACTGTCGACGGCCACTAACAGACTGTGACTCCGCCCACAACCAAACACCCTCTAGACAGGTGTGTCTGAATCTACTAATTAACACAAACAACCCATTTAATGACTTTGAAATCATTATGATTAACTGTGTAAACTGAGACTTTTATTGGTTTAAAAATAAGATTTTGACAAAAACTAAAAAACTGTTTCTTCAGAGTAAATTTATACTGTCCAGGAGAAAAACTCTGAAAACGCTCAAACTGGACGAGTTTAAAAAGGTTCTGAGAGTTTACTGATGGTAACAGTTTATTTTGATCAGGGTTAGACAGAAAAATACGACATTATAAAAAAGGTAAAAACAAACAAATCACCAAAATAAAATATTAATTAAGGAGAAAAAACAAATCAGACTTGCCTTCATACACTGATATTTACGGTAAATTACAGTATGTAAAGACTGTCGGATTTTCAATATTAGTAATTAATTAATGATCATAACTCACCAATATGAATTTATGATGATTGATATATTATCTGTGTCTCCAGCCTAACTTCACCTCACTGCTGTCTTTCTGTCATTGGTCGATCAGCCGGTCACCTGGTCATTCCTCATCCAATAGCATGTCAGCACACGCTCACAGTCAGCCAATCCCTGCTCTGCTCTCATTTTAAAAATCATTTCTTTGTATGCTGCTTCCTCCACCTCTCCACCTCCACCCGCTCTCAGCAGAATCAGACACCAGCAGGTCCAAACCCAGGTTCAGGACTCCATGGGGGATTTTCCAGGATCTCAAGATCGCCCCATGGAGTCCGAACGCCAAAGACGTCATTTTGATAATCGTCTAATAAACGTTTTTAATCTTTAAAAGTCTCACATGTACACAGACCCTCAGTACACTACACACATAAACACTAACCGTCCTCAGCACACAACTACATCTACACACCTGTAAATAATCCTGATCAATAACTGATGAAGAGTCATTGATTCAAACCTAAAAACTGATCAAACACAGAAGAACGCAGCAGTTCAGGTCATCGCTGTGTGAGTCTGTTTTTACACACACACACACACACACACACACACACACACACACACACACACACACACACACACACACACACACACACACATATATATCTTTCTGCCCCCCCCCCCCTCTGGTTTGATTTATTTACTCTTTGTTTGTCGTATGTAGAAATGTAAATTTAGACTCCCCAGGGGAGAGCATCCTCACTTTGACACAAAACACTGAAAAAAATCAGAATAACATGAGGGGGGGGGGGGGGCAGAGAGGAGGCGTGGGCTGAAAAATGAAGACTGCATAAACAGAAGAAGAAGAAGAAGAAGAAGAAGAAGAAGAAGAAGAAGAGGATGTTTGTGTTTTTAAAGGATGTCAGAGCGACTCTGTGACGGCGTTTGATCCTGAAGAAACAGACGG